CCACCGGGTCCTGCGGGGCCGGGAGGGTTCCCGGGGCCGCTCCCCGGGGGCGAGGACGGGTCCTGCGGGGCGGGGTGGCGGGAGGTTCGGTACCGGGCCGTGACGCGCCGAGCGCTGTGCGGGCAGGGCTGGTGAGCGCCCTGCTGGGGCCCTCCCGGAGAGCGGGTGTTCCCGCTGCTGCGGTTCCCGGGAACTTGTTGATCGTTCCGTGGCTCTGTTGAAGCCTTCACCAAAGCGAGTGTTTCAAGCCGTTGCCAAAAAAGGCTTTTATTAGGTTATCAAGAAGCTCGGTCATGACATCGCTCCTGTAGATAACTTGCCAAGTGATCGGGGAACAGCAGTGACTGTTTTGTGTCACCGTTTTCATGCGACACAGTTTGTCACACGTTGGCTTAGGCCCCAGTGCTGATACCCTTGGGCACATCCTTCCCCACCCCGGGATCGGCTCTTTGAACTTCACTGCTGCAGTCATTCATGGAAATAACGCTGAAAACGGATGCAGTCGCTTTCAGGAGCCTTGTTTGTAAACACAGGGTGTAGCAGTGCAGTTTGAAGAGCATCTTGCAGTATTTTCCTAAGTTGTGCTTGCTTTTTATTGCTTCCTACCGAATGGGGCTGTGAGGATGGCAACACAATCATTTGTTTTGGCTAAATGGTTCTGTCTCTGGGCAAACAGTGATTCCTGAGATTTTGGCTGAGCTGTGTGTCATGTTTTGGGGTCATTTACACTTTTGTGACATTGTAGGTGCACAATTCTCAGGTTCCAGTAGTTGGTTAAACTCTGCATTTGACAGAACATCGTTATTTATCCCTAGGCCTAATGCAGTGTTCAGTGTGTAGTGTTCTGTCTTATTCTAAGAATCCAAATTCATAGTTTTTACCAGCTATGAATATAATGGTCAAGCCTGGGTTGAGATGAGAAAGGAGCATAGGGAAATGTGAAGTTGTGTACCTGTGAGTGGTCTGAGATGTGCCTTTTCTTGTTTTGACTTGTGTGTGGCCCCAAGGAAGATATTTTTGGTGAACTCTTGCTCTACTTAGGTAACAAGATGTAAGGTAGAATGTCTCAAGGATCCTTTCTTAACCCTTAAATCAAAGGCATGTTTCTGTGCTTTGGTACACTGTTTAATTTGATACCTCTGCTACAAGTGCTCCTCGCCGCCTTTCTCCCCCTGTCCAATCACTTTTCACACTACAGGGCTAATTTAGGTCAAACTTGGGAGTTACTATGGTATTCTCATTAAGACGTTGTTCTGAAGGATTAGTGGATTTTGTTGTTCACCTTTGAGGGAGGAAAGGAATTTTGCTGTTAAATCTTTCAAATGGGATGAGCCAAGCAGCAATTTCAGAACTATGGAGTCTTCTAGGCCCCAAGAATGTCACTTCTGGGCAGTTTGTTTGCATTTTTCCAAAAGGATTGCTATCTTTCTTTCCGGTTCTCTTGCTAGCTTTCTGACTCTGATTTCAGTTTAATTTTCTTTCCCTTGTCTGTCTCTGCCCTGCCTCACTTCCTGTGTTTAAATACCCATTGCCTTCTCCTTAACTCATCTCTCTTTCTCCTTGTTTGTGAAAGCTACTTGCAGTTGGTTTTCTCTTTTTGTTTTTCCCCACCCCTCTCCTCTTCTGCTATTTCCAGTTCTCAAAGGAGTTTCCTAAATCTCCTAGGTGATACCAGAATGGTGCCTCTGTGGCCTTATTTTGGGCCACTACCCAAACCACATGTACTCTTTGAGAAACAGAGGGGAGGTAATATTTCCCCACGTGCTTACAGAATGTTCTTCCAGGTCTAGTCTTGATGTTCTTATCAGGCGATTGCATTGAGCCTCCCATGACTGTTCTTACTTCCACCTCTTGGGTACAAGGCACTGTGGACTTCCCAGTAAGGTGTGACAAGTGATTCTTTGCTTCCCCTGTGCTGTCGGTTGTTCCATAGCTCTCCTGGTCAATTTATGAAGCAGGGGATTTTCTATGATACATTCATACTGATGTTTTTAAGTAAAATTTATTTTTTTCAGGAACTTCAGCATAGGAAGAGGAAATTCTGCTTCCTTCAAAGTCTTTCTTGTCTCTTCTAGAATTGTTTTGTGTCAGAAATAGATGGGGATTGAGATGAATTTAAAAAAAAACTTTTCCCTTGGGTGTATTAAGCCATAACATGGGGTCTGCCTTGGGGTCACTGAGAGCAGCTTTTACTGTCTTTAAGCTGGCAGGTGAAGATGAAGCTGAATTTCAGGTAGCAGTAATCTTCAAGTAGCAGTAATACTAATAATCAAGAGCAAGAAATGTGTGTTTAACTTTTCATGTTAAAGTGGGAAGTACATCCTTCTGGTGCTTCTGACAATGGCTGCAGCTGCCTTGTTTTATTTTCTGCTGAATGAGCCGAACATGGGCTCTTCTGCTTCCAGGCTGAGCCCTGGCGTGGAGATGTGGAGTGACTAGCTTTCCCTCTCCTCTTCCTCCCTGGAGAGAGGGATGTGGCCTTCTCTGAGCCCGAAGGCAACCAGCAGCAGGGTGGGTGGTGCCGGAGGGGATATTGTGGAGTGCAACAACAGGACCGAGGAGGGTCACTGGTAGCTTCTGGTGTGAGGTTGCAGGGGTTTATGGAAGCAGGAGTAAGACCCATGAGGATGTAGCACTGCTGTCTTTCACATCCCTTGATTAATGGAGTTGATGAACCTGGATTATTGTTCATTTATGTTTGATTCGAGGAGTTTATGGAAAATACGTTTTTTTCCCCAAACACACTCTAAATATAATGTCCTAGCTATTTTTTCCTCAGTTGAGTATCCTCATTTAAAAAAAAATTAAAGGCGTAATAAGCTTACATAAGGATGTAAATAGCATACATTTTTGTAATGTGCTGGTATAATGTAGTGCTCTGGAGCAGGGGAAAAAGTAGGGGAGACAAAATAAGTTCTGGAGTTATTATGTGCTTTCTTTTTAAAAATTGTATCTTATCCAAGAAGCCACAGAATTGAAAAATGTGCTGGTAAAGTGGATGTACTTGGGAGAATTCTCATCTGTCTTCCCACGCTAGCATTAGAAATCTTGTTTTTGCTGCATGAATACTTGTATTTCAGTCAGCATAAAAGTTCCTAAGGCTAAGTAAGGAGATGATTTAGCACATTTTCCTGATTGCAGCTTGTTGTGAATGTGTCTTTCCTCCACCAGTTTTTTGCTTCTCTGTTTCTTTTAGCATTCCCCAAAATAGTTCTTCCAGGCAAACACGCTAATTCTTATCCTAAATAGCACACAGTAGCGAGTCTTTTGCTCCTACCTGTTTTTACCTGTTTCTAGAAAGAAGATTGGTTGTCTATCCCTTTTGAAAGGTATCTGCAAGCCAAAATGAGATGCCTCTACCACTTACTTGGAATGAAATGCCGTTTAACACTACATACAACATCTGTGTTGATTCTTGGGGGAAGTGGTGCCATCATGGCTAGCACAGCTTTTCTGAATCTGAATAGTACACAAAGATACACAAAGGTGAAGACACTTCAGCCCACCTGGCACAACAATTAAGTGATGTGATAACGGTGTCTTTCACTGCTCTGAATTGGACAGTGATGTGACACCCTAGCTTTGCTAGATGAGACTTCACTGACCACTGTACTTAAAAGTTATAAAACATGAGGTTTGTATTTGATGATGTCAGCTTTTTAAGACATAGGAAGTTAGCTTGTCTCCCAGGATACTTTTTACTTTCTTATGTTGCATATAATTATTAAGCAATGATCTTTGCTAAGTAATGATCTGTGATAAAAGGATTTCTCAGTGTGGCCTCTAGATGGCACGGTTATTTGGAGGTCTTCTGCGTTCACATGACATCAAATGGATTCCTGCATGGAGAAACTTGATCCTTTACTGTGCAAAAGGAAAAAAAAAAAAAAAGAATAGAGACAATAAACATCTGCATTTTCCTGTTGTTTTGTTGAAAGGAATTGCAGATGTAAGAAACCAGGCAACATTAAAATAACTGAAAAATATATGAATATGCTAGAGATCAACCAACACTTAGTTTAACTATCTTCTAGAAGTAGTGTTGGTTTATACATTGTAGAAGAATTTGCCAGATCTCATGTTGGAGGCCAAAATAACTATGCTGAAAGCCAGATCAGACTTCAAGTGATGGATGGATGACTGACTCAGCCACAGGTAAATTCCTGCTTTGTCTAAGTTTTTCTTCCACTGTGTTCTTTATGAACCTATGCTTACGGTCTTCCCTCTCTGGACCATTTTGTTCAGTCAATTTTTACAGTGCACAATGTCGACATCTGCTCTCTCTTAAAAAAAAACCCACGACAAAACACAAACCAAAACATTCCCCCACTTCGTTGAACCCCTGACAGCATGTGCCTGAGTATTAATTGCATATGTTAAAATAGGAATATGGCTTTGGTGTCTGAGCCATTGGAGGCTGAGGCTCTGACTGAGAATTGCACTGGATTCATTGAGGCTCTTGTGATTGCCAAGGGAGCCAGAGTTAAGCTCTGGAACTTGAGGTTCATAGCTGGTGTCATCCTGTGTCAGCCTGGATGCTGGAAAATGACTGGTGAATCTGGACTGAGCTGGTTTAAAAAAAAAAAATACGGTGGGGAGTCCCTGAGGCCTGCAGAGAAACCATTCATGTTTAATGTACTTTTTCGTGTCATACAGTTAAACTAGCACAGTGCTTAAATGCCTCACAATGATGAAAGACTGCTGTGGAGCTGTTAAGGTTCAATTTTGAGTGAAACAGAAATAATTTGGCAAAGTGAGAAATATTTAATAGCTGTGGCAAATATCTAATGTGGAGCACATTTATGCTGTCACAAATTCTTTACTGAACCATCCAGAAATGCGACGGATCCTCTGCCAGGAAGACCTTTATCCCTCTAAAGTTTTCTGGGAATTTTCTGATATAATGAATTTGAAATAAATAAGGGAATATATTTAAACAGATAAACTGATCCTAAGTAGGTTAAATTACCCAGATAGTAAAACTGTAATTTGAGTTGTAGTGGGTGATGCATTATGAAATATTAGCTGTGCATATTATGATAGTTTGAAGTTTGTTTGTATTACTGAAGTATCTTAAAAGCTTGACTGCTGTTTAGAAGACTTGAGTGTTGATGGTTTTTTTGTTAATCTCACTGCTGTACACCCTATTCTACCTGCCTGACAAGAAGGAAATGTTCAGTCCATTTTGCCTTGGCATTCCAAACTGAATTCTTAGGTCTCTCTTCTGGCCATAGTGTATGACAAAAGCACAAATAATACCTGATGTTTTATTTAGAGCTTTAGCTTAATAGGTCTATAAGCAAATTGATATTTTTCTCTGGTTCTTTAAAGTTTTGCTCTGTCTCTCTTGTACACGTCTTCTAAGCTGTATAATAATTATTTCCAAAGCTGATTGTAATATTTATTTCACCACTCTCTGCACTCAGCTCAGACATTTGGCACTGGGAACAGGCCAAGGCAGCTGAAGGGGATTGCAAGCAGCACCAAGAGAGCAGAGGGAAACCTGGAAACTGCATTCAGGCTTCCAGAGTTTTTCATCTGGTTCTCTGATTGCTGTGAAAAGTACTTTTGATGATGTTTCTCTGAACCCTAAAGCAGGAAGTTGGGTTTTTTTTCACTTTTTATTAAATTTAGGCGTTCCTTCTGCATTGACTTCCAGCAAGACTTGTGGCTCACATGTATCAATTACATGTTTAACTCTCATATAAGAAAGAGGTACCCAGAAGTGCAGAGTGAAAATAATTCAGCACAGTTACTGTCTTTACTTGTGAGATAACCACCATGCTTATTTCTTATACTTATTTCCATGTAGTCTTTATTTAAATAATATGATATCTTCAGAGCCTGTCCCTTTCATCCTTATAATGCACTTTAACGCTTTGATGTTGTCTGTCTCTTCAGGGATGATTCTGTCCCAGAGGATAATATTTGGAGGGGTATCCTCTCTGTGATTTTCTTCTTTCTAATCATCAGTGTTCTAGCTTTTCCTAATGGTGAGTAAGGTTTATACTGCTTATACTTCACTTTGTAACATGTGAATGCCTCTTAATTGCCACTGTATTTATTTTTAAGTACCACTTCTAAATGTTTTTTCTTTACTCTTTTAAATGATTTTAATGAACAGGCTAAAAATGGGTTGCAGTCACACTGAGTGCAGATAACAGTAAAATGCAAGTTATTTATAGCTTGTCTTATCTAACAAGGAAGTCAGGTTTTCAGAATCAGTGTCTCTGTTTGCAGGTGCACAGTCGCAGCTCAGATTACTAAGTAGTGATGCTGCCAGATCCTTAAATAATATTTTAAAGGAGTCTGCCTCAGTGTGTTTCAACAGAAGCCTCATTCTACAAGTTCTCAGCAATATAACACCTTATGTACATCACCTTCTCTTAGGCTAGTAATAGTTAGGAATGGTCAAGGTCACACAACAATGTAAAACCACATTTTCTCAAGAGGAATTTGAGTTGGACAAAAGTTTTGGGAATTGTGTGAGGAGCAGAAAGTGCAAAAAGTAAAATGTGTAAAAGCCCTTGTGTGGCACTTAATTCTGTGGAGGAAATGCTGTCTTCTTGTTAGCTTTTGAATTTTGTGGGGTTTTAAAAATTTATATTTTTTATTTTTAGTTATTACTGTTGACAAGAGCATAATTCTTGGGTCAAGTCTGAACTGTCTCAGGATTGGCACTGTTCAGAAAAAAAAGTGATTGTGCTCAGGGCAGCTTGGTAGTTCAGAGCTGGGATGTATTTTTCTCATATTTAAAAAATCATTACTCCCTATTTTTCACAAAGCATTCCCTGAAAAACTGAGTGCCTGAGAAAAAGGAGCTTTATGCATATGGTGTTGAAGAAGCAGTCCATGGTGTACGCTGAAAATATTTTGTCAGCTACATCTTGCTACCTAAACATATGATTCATGTTCAGAGGTTTTCCACTTTCACTTCTGTGCTTTTCACCTTAAATGAGAGGTTTTTAATCCAACAGTCAGTTTAATCACTGGCTCTAAAGTAAATAATATTGACATTTGTAAAGAGTATAGGTATCTTACTTCTTTTCAAATATATAATACTGAGTTTGAAGGTTTTAGGAGGCCTGTTTACTAACACTTTGTGGTCATCTGAAGGCTAAGCACCATGTTTCTTTGCTTACACACAGAAATTTGACTTCATAGCTTCAGTGGGAGCAAGCCATGTGTGAGCTATTGTCTAGAACCAGATCAAGAGATCCTCAGGTAAAACCTGAGATACAGTGTCTGCTGAACAAATAGCGTATCACTCTTCTGGGGAAAACTCCATTAAAATAATTGAAAATTTTGTCTACATACTTCTAACTGGCAGTCTAGTTTTTCCTTTCTGAAATCTGATGTTACCATTATTTTTTTAACACAGAACCCCAACATTCAGGTATATTACATAGTTCGATGGAAAATTGATCCTTAGTCATGCCAAATTCTCATGAGATACACTGAAATAGAGATTACATGGTTCTTATTGATGTGTTTTCTAATAGGCTTTTTGTTTACTGTCTGCAGGACCCTTTACACGTCCCCACCCTGCAATATGGAGAATGGTTTTTGGTAAGTTTAAGTTGTGTTTCTTACTTCTTTCAGTGTCTCTTCAGGACTGGCTGTTTTAACTTCCAGAAGAATGGAGTTGTCATTAAACATAATAGTGCATCAAACTTGTTTGAATGTCCCTTCCCTCTCACTTCTCAACAGTTGTTTGCAATCTGTTCTTAATTATGTTGGGAATGTCATTGTAGTAACTCTGTGTCAGGATGTTGTAAATTAAAGCACCAGAAAGGGATAATTCATTCTGATACTCTGTTATAATCCTATTTTGTGTTTGTACTTCCTAATCTGCTTCGCCTACACCCTTCCAACTGCTGTCTCTTCCCGCCCCAAAAAGGTTTGGGTTTTTTTATAGCTACCATGCTCTTTAAGTAAATCGAGTTTAGTAGGGTTCTTTTTTAATTATTGGAAAATATGCTATCACTTTTTATGTTTATTAAATTGTATCACTGTATAGCTTAACAGTAATTTATTAATATTCTTAACATGTATATATTAATATTCTTATAGTTTCAGCAAAAATACCTGTAAATATTAGTTGCATTCATAGTTTGGAAAACGATTCTAATGACTAAGCAGTTTACTGAGTGAAATCCTACTTCTTAGACATCTGAATTACATGGCAAAACCATTAGGAATTTTATTCTAAAATAATTCAGGGCTCACAGATGATATCCTAAATTTCAAGCACATTTGCAAAGACTTAGGCACATTTGATTTAAAAGCTGGTATGACTTTTTAAGGGGACTGAGTGTTTCTCCATGCAGCCACCTTATATAGCTAAAAATATTTAGTCTCCCAAAGTAGCTGATTGCTCATCTGTTGACACTGAGAATCATAGAATCATAGAATCATAGAATCTTAGGGGCTGGAAGGGACCTCGAGAGATCATCTAGTCCAACCCCCCTGCCAGAGCAGGGTCACCTAGAGTACATCACACAGGAACTCATCCAGGTGGGACAGGAACTCATCCAGGTGGGAAGATAGTGCTGATTAGATAATACTTGTTAAAGAATCCTGCTCCTTGTGAAATTTAGGAAACACAGGTCCTATTGCTCATTTCTGGTTTCAGCAAATGTAAATTAAAATGTCATTCTCAATGTTAATACTATCTCAGCTTGGCTCCCTGTACTGGAAAAGGCTGCATTTGAAATCAAGAGCAGCATTTTTCCTTGTGTAAGTCTGCTGCTTCTGGCATGGCTGTTCAGCCAAGCTTGATGTCTCAGACCTGTTCAGTAGATGAAAGGCAGCAGTAGTGTGTTCTCAACATTTCAGGATGCACCCTCGCCTGCAGGCTGTTTCTTTTAGTAGTTTATCATCTGTTTACCTGAGGTGATGTTAGGAGGCATTGCAAAGGACAGTGTATGTACTTTCTGTTCATGTGTGTGTACTTGAATGGAAATTGCTCTCGAGCATACACTCGGGATTAATAACATCTGAGTTCTGTTTATAGTTTAAAGTATCTTTTTAGAATTGCTGTATTTTATTTTGGATGATTGATAGATACTAAGTTTATTCCCATTAATCTTTCTGCCTTCCGTGACATTGCTGCAGGACACAAGTAAGTTTGAGTGCTAGACTATGGAAATGGTGTTAGTATTTATATGCCTCTTCCAAACATCATCTTAGACATCTGTGAACTTGTGAATTATGTAAAGATATGCCCCCAACAGCAGCTTTATCTACCCACAGAGCTACACATACGACTCTGAAGTTCTTAACATTTTTTATTTAAAAAAATTCACATTCAGGCATTGGGAGGAGAAAGGCAGTAGACCCAAATGCAGTAGTGTATCATAATTTATAATGGTGTGAAAACAAATAATAATAATAATAATCTTTATCTTTAAAAGCTTCAAACAACAAATATTCCAGCTCACAAAAGTGACTCAAGCATGCATTAGTTTGTAACTACTCTGTACTGCCAGCGTATCTCCGAATTGCTAGGTGGGATTATTAAATTGAAGGGACAGAGCTAATCCAGTCCCGGCGTCCTAGTGGCTCTCTTACTGAAGAGCTTCCTGATCACAGCCTTGTGCTACTCACATCTAAACTGATTAGACTGATTCCATTTTGATTGGGTTCATGCAGTCAAGCACATAGTCTATCACTTGACATAGGAGGTGGTAGGGAGGGCTGAGTGTGCAGAGATTGCCATCTGACTTGTGTCTCTTAAGCTGTTTTGCATGTAGCCACTGTATGTAGAAGACTCATTTGTGCAAACTGGACATATACAGAGCAACAGTTTGAAAGCAGCTTTTTGGACTCTCTGTGTCCCAAGGAGTTTTGTGAGTGAACATGATTTTAATGCTGAGTCTTTTTGCAGGTCTCAGTGTGCTCTATTTTCTGTTCCTGGTGTTCGTGCTCTTCCTTAACTTTGAGCAGGTAAAAGCTGTGATGTACTGGCTGGATCCTAATCTCCGATATGCCACAAGGGAAGCAGATATTATGGTATGTAACCATGGCACTTTACTGGACTATTTGGCTACTTCAGGCATGGTTTACATGAGTGGGAAGGAATACATCTGAATTTGCTGGCATGGGCACTGCAAGTTTGTCTCTATACCTGACAGACTCAACCAACCTTTTTTGTCAAGTGCTGTTTCTTTAAATTGAAAAAAACTGGTGTGAAAAACAGTCTTCCCTGTATTTATTGCTAATGCAGATGTTCAGATGAGTGTGAAGTTGGGATTGTGAAAAATGAGGTGTCTTTGGATTCCTTTAAATAATACATGGGAGACTGAATACTGAAAATAGTCATAGCAAGGTAGTATCTGAATGAGGTGTATGTGGTGTCTGTCCTCCCAATTAGTTTTCTTGATGCCACAATGCTGCCCTCAAAGAACTGTGGTCTTGCCTTATTGATCTGAGCTTAGTGCAGGACTGGCATGCTACTGAGTATGTGGAAAACCAGATAGAGCAACTGCAGGGCTCTGCTGCCTTCCAGTCACCGAGATAAGTACTGATGCTGTTACCAGTGGGGAATGATTTCTGTAGACCATGATTTGGACTCGCATGGAAAGCCAGGCTTGTTCTTCTGCCTGTTGAGCAGCTTGTTAAGACTTTTCAATACAGAGAATATTCCCCCTCGGTTGAGGACAGTGGCACAAGGAGTTGAAACAGTAAAAGGAGGCGAGGGAGAAGTGTGTGAGGTCTGTTGGAAGGCAGGCAGGAGAGGATGTGATCAGTTCAGCACCAAGCAGAAGAGGATTACTGCATGGAGAAACAAGAGCTGCCGGGTCTTCTCCTCTTCACTGTCCCATCACATTACTGCCCGCCAGCTGACTGGCACACTTCCTTGCCGTTGGGTTTGTGCATTAGCACACCATGATCACCTGTCATATGGTAGGTGATGGTGTTGGACTCATGCCTAAGGAGTAAGGAAATACACTGATTGCCTTTGGCAAATAGCAATTTACTGCTTATGCAAACTACTGCACAGCACCTAATGGGCAGCAGCTGCAAACTCCTGCTCTGAGGCGCATAAGAGGGAATGGAAATCTTCACAGTGCAGTAAGCTTACTTTAGTTGATTGATAGTGAGGGCTGCACGCAGGCTCCTTACTGGGAAAGCTGGATGCTTCAGATGTTGCACCTCAGCTGATCAGCAGCACGTGTTGTGCAGCTCCAGCAGCCACTGTGGGTCTGTGACTTGCTGCTCTGCAGGAGACCTGTGGTCATGAGCCATGAGCAGTCTGCTGTTAGGGTGGGTGGTGGGAGGACACATTGCTAAATAGAGCATGAGCTTGGAGGTTAGTAATGTTGCTGAGCAACAAAAGGGAGCTGAGACAAGGAGTCTGTTGATAAGACAGATTCACCTGCCTCTCCTGTCATTTAAGTTAGAAATAAATAGAGTCAAGTCAGGGGAGGACTAGTGTTACTACTGGCACAGACCACAGTACAGCAGATACCCTGACTCTAACAGTCAGCAGAAATTTACTCTGTACTACTTAGTGATCTTGATACTGTTGCTTAAAGTTGGATTAAATTTTTGAACTGCGACTATAATGAAGGCTGCAGCTTTGTCTCTTGCACAGGGCTGGCAAAATTGTTTGAGTATAAAAGAAAATGGAACATATTTCACTATCTGACTGGCAGAGCTGCAGCTGTAAAAATTAAAGGGAGGGTGGGGAAAGTCCCAGTAAAAATAGGAGCAGAAAAGCAAGTGCCCTGCAAAAAAGCTTATTTTTTTGAGTAATCTCATTATGTTCACATAGAATTTCAGATATCATGGTGTAACAAGGAGCCTAAATTCAGTGCTTCTTGTGCTGGCAAATGAGCCAGTTTCAGATCTCTTTGGGTACATGCACTAAAGCTGCAGCTTTGCCATCCTTAGAACAGGTGGTGCACCTTTCTCTGAATGACCAGTAGCAACACTGGTGTGTTTGAGAAGCAATACCATACTTTCACTTCAGGGAGCACAGGCAGTATGGGTTACTTACTGTTTTGTAGTGGGACTTACCTGCCTCCTGATAGAAGTATTTGTGTGAAATTGTGTATTCTTCTCTTTGTGGACACCAGGTTTTAAATCTTTCTCTGCCAGCTTTCAGCTTCTTTGTGGTTTATTTGTGCAGGATTAGGAGTAATTCTAGCCTGAAAGGTAATCCTTTCTTAATTCATCAACATTGAGCAATGTTGTGTTGTCACCTGCAGGTGGCAATGTGTATTTTAGAAGGGTTGGAGAGCAGAGGTTTTTTTAAAATGTGTATTTCCAGTTGGAAATAGTTTAGTTTGTGCCCAGTGGTGAGAGGGAACTCCAGAGATGCAGCCTCCAGATGTCATACAGATTTTTTTTTAGTTGTGCAGTGATTTCTAGCACTCACTGTACAACATGATGAGTGAACACATTTCCTTTATTACTGACTAGAGTATTAATTAATATTCTTAAGGAATCTACCACTCATCTGTGATGGAACAGTTGCAAGTTCCCTTTGTTGTTTTTTTGTTTTGATTATTGGGTTTTTATTTCCTTTTTAGTTCAGCCCTGTGGCTGCATTTTTTCCATGTGATTTTTTTTCTGGGGAACTTCTTCTGGGGGAAAATAAGACACCAAAGATACTCAAATGAACACTGAGATGAGTAACATGACATCACAAACTAGAGAGGAGTAGCCATTGGTGAGCCACATCTGAACACCAGACAGCGTGAAAATGGGGAAAGGTTATTATTTCAGATCAAGACCCTAGATAAAAGCTAATAACTATTTTCTGGAGTATTGTTTGTTGGGTTTATTATTATTGATGTTATTGTTTCTGCTGTTTCTCTGTCACGTTAAGAAATACTGTACTGTGATGACACGGACTCTTAAAATGGAAAGTTTTCCTGCAGTGTCTAGAAGGACAGGAAAGCAGAATAATGCATATTTTAATATCCTTATAATTTTGGGCTTGTACTGGATAAAAAGAAGATTCTTCATTGTAGTGTTTCTGAAGTTCATTGAGGTTTTTTTCTTGGTTTGTTTGTTTGTTTTTCCCATTAACAGGAGTATGCTGTGAACTGTCATGTAATCACATGGGAGAGAATCCTCAGCCACTTTGATATATTTGCTTTTGGGCATTTCTGGGGCTGGGCTATGAAGGCTTTGCTGATCCGCAGCTATGGGCTGTGCTGGACCATTAGCATCACCTGGGAGCTCACTGAGGTAGGCCACCCATTTATCTTAGTTATAAGCAAATGTGTAGGACTTGAATTGTTCCTGTGGAGAAGTGTGAATTTTACTAGAAGGGTCATGCAGTAGTTCTCAGTATAGATTTACATTTTAAGCCTTATAAACCAAATGCTGAGCAATTGGTGCAGCTGCATTAGTGGACAACAGCAAGCTGGGGTTTAGGTTAAGTGTCTTACTAATACTTGAACAGGAGAGAAGTCAAGGCCAACCTGTCAGTGCCATCCATACTTTGTTTTTCTGCTGTTACGGTCATCGACACTCATGCTATGTCAGATGTTGATTAATATTCCCAGATTGAGACCAATTTTCCTTTTTCACTTTGCAATATCTGTGATCTACTGTCATGATTCCCTTACCTCAAACACAAGAGTATTACACATTGTGCATAGTGTGCAGTGAAATATAGCAGAGGGATCCCTAAGGAGGGTGTGAAGACCCATAAGGAGAAGTCTGCATGGACTGGCAAGACACCATTCATTCAGTGTGGTGTTTTCTGTCATGAGGCCTGAGTGCATAGCCAGTTCTTCTGTTAAATTATGCCCCACAAGCTTAGTTTATTCATGCTCACTTACATAAAAATGGGGTTTTTTACTAAACCTGTATCTGAGCACATGCACTGCTCTGTGGTTTGGAGGATCACTGACTTATTTTTGTTCAGCTTTACCACAGTTCTCCCAAGAACTCACTTAAATCATTTGACTGTTGACACTTCCAAATCCCATTCTGCCAAAAAAAAAATAGTCTGATAGTTGGGGTGATTGAGTCAGATAACTCTTGCTTGGACTGCTTGTCCTTAGTATTAGATCTATTTTAAGAATTCAAGCTGACTAATTGCCACTCTAAATATTTTCATTTGCATGTAACCTAGAACTTGATTAGTAGAAGGTGTCACCTAAAGTCGAGTTTAGTTTCCTTATATGGTTGGATTGGACAATTCAGAGAAAAGAAAGAAAAATCTGTTTTTTATATTATCTTTTGGGACAGCATAGCCTAACCAGTCGCACTGTAAGTACTAAGTGTAGATGTAAACATCTGAATTTAGTCTTTAAAATCATAATTTTCTTTAGAGCTTGCTGTCTTGAGAGTGCTCATCTCATCTGACAAGGCATTTATAATTCAGAAACAGGGATTTATTTGTCTAAAATTAAACGTCTGGGTTTGAAAATACTGGTGCTATGAGTTCCTTTTCAAAACATGTTTTTGTTCTGTGCCACTGAAGGATATGCTGTTTTTTAAGCTATTCTGAAGCTGCTTAAGTTTCACGAACTCCCATCCACAAGAAAAAACAACACAACTTTGCTAGTTACTGTAGTAATTTTTTCCCTCTGGAAAAGAATAAATTAGGATTTGTTTCACACACACTCTTATCATTCAGTTGACCATCACAAAACCATCATCTTCAATTTGACACCATATGGGGTGTCTAGTGTTCCCTGTTGTTGAAAGGCATATTATTGGAACAGACAATGTGTTGGGTAAGGTTCAACATATAGAGAGGTTATCACCACTCAAATGGATTTTTAATGAATTCAGGAGAGTCATTAGAAACCTACAGAAGTTATCAGGGCAGTTATGTAGGGATTTAGCTGTACATCTCCTGTTAGGATTAATGAATTTTGACTGGCTCTGTGTTCTGAAATGGAACACTTGGCTTATGCTCTTAACTATCAGATCAAAGTGGGGATGCAGGCAGCCTTTGGTCTCTCATTCTGAGAAAACAGCTAGCACCTTAGAGAAGGTCTGGCTTACACCTGTGCTCTAGTTTTTGCTGCCTTACATGATTTTGGCTGGATTATTGCAGATTGAGAATAATAGCCTAGTGCCTCTTTCAGGTTAAATTAATTTAAAACATGAGAAGGAAACTGTTATCAGGATAATGGTCAATATTTTATAGCTTGGCTCCTGAAGAGAAATTCAAGTTTTCTTTTCTACAAGTTGAAATTCCATTTTACTTGCCAAAGCAAAACAAGTTGTTTTGATAATACTTTTGCAAGAGTTTTCAAAGGAGCTGTCAGTGTCAGTCCCTGTAATTTATTATAAATGGACCAGTATTCATTCTTGTTGTATACAGAAAGCATTCTTGTTGCCCCTTTTCCCACATCTGATTTTTTTCAATATTTTATTTATGCATTTGTTAACAAAAAGTGCTTTCTTTCAAAATCATGCCAATAAACTTCCACAGACACAGTGTATGTACATTAACTGAAAAAAAATTGTACTATTTCTGTGGAGGTAAGAATCTTACTTACTTTGTGATGTGTTTTGTTAAGCATCTCCTTGACTGTATTCCAAAGGGACTGCTTAACACATGGGTGTCTTGATTTGCAGTCCACAGCTAACATTTCCAGTCTATTTTTTAGGTTGCTGTGATTTTTCTTGTAGAATAGAGTATTCAATTATTTTCTCTTAAAGGAGGATGAGATGCACTGAATCCATTTCTAACTCTCAGTAAATTATGTTTCTATCTTGCCATTACTCTCACCACTTGTTCATCTTCACTCTATCAAAAGTGTAACTCACCAAATGTATCTGTAAATACATTTAATTGCCTTACCTAATACATCACAGTGGACTTCAGTGAAGTTCAGGATTCAAAGGGAACAGATTGTATCAGAGGTAAAGGATTTGTTCAGTTTCCAGGGGAAACGTTTAGGGGACTGAATATGTTTTGATATATACAGATGGTGCCAGCTTTTCAGTCTGATGGCATTTTTTACAAATGCATCCATTCTACTTACTGAATCTTGTTGCTGATTTAGAAAGCATACTTCTTTAATACTACTTAGCAAAAAAAAAAAAAAAAGTTTCTCTACATTTTATTTTTAAAAGCACAGGACACCTCTTTCCTCCAAGAAATGTGGTAGTTTTGCTTGTTTCATGCATTTGGCATGCACCTATCAGGATCACAACCCTGGACTTCAGCAGGGCCAACTTCAGCCTCTTCAAGCAGTTGTTAGGGGAAATCCCATGGGACATAGTACTAGATGGTAAAGGGGCTCAAAATAGTTGGTTGACATTCAAGGACCACTTCTTCCAAGCTCAGACTCTGAGCATCCCAGTGGGTAGGAGATCAAGAAAAGGAGCCAGGAGACCCACATGGTTACACAAGGAACTGCTGGGCAAACTCAAGTGGAAAAAGCAAATCTATAGATCATGGAAGGAGGGGCTGGCCACTTGGGAGGAATATAGGACTGTTGTCAGAGGATGCAGGGAGGCAACTAGGAAAGCTAAGGCCTCCTTGGAACTAAACCTTGCAAGAGGTCAAAGACAATAGAAAGGGCTTCTTCAAATACATTGCAGATAGAACTAACACCAGAGGCAATACAGGCCCACTGCTGAATGAGGTGGGTGCCCTGGTGACAGAGGATATAAAGAAGGCAGAGGTGCTGAATGCCTTCTGTGCCTCTGTCTTTACTGCTGCAGAGACTCTCCCCAGGAGCCCCAGATCCCTGGAGCTCCAGAAAGTCCCAGAGGAAGTCAGGATAAAGGAGGAGTTTGCTTTGGTAGATGAGGATTGGGTTAGGGATCAGTTAAGCAATCTGGACATCCATAAATTGATGGG